TCTAGAAGCTGTTTGGCATTTAAAGTTCTTTGCAGCTGGTGGGCTTATCCTGCTTGAATTCACAAGGCTGCCTTCAATCCTGGACACATCCACTTTAGGGTTGACACTCATTCACTGAGCTCAGGAAAGAATAAACACAAAAGGGGATGCTCAAGTTCAAGCTCAGGCTTGCTTAGAAAAGATGTGGTTTAGTTGCCACATGCTTGCAGCCATCTGATGGCCAGGATGCATGTCATTTTCTAGAGTAAAATATAATACGAAGTTCAAAGTTCAAGTTACCACTCTAAGTGACAATGTTAAATGTGCTAGATTAAGGGCCATTGGGTGTTGCTGTCCATTTGTTTCAGTCATGTACAACTCTTTGGGTTTCATGGCAGAGATGCTGGAGTGATTTGCTGTTTCCTTCTCCACCTCACTTTACAGATGAGAAACTGAGGCAAACAGGGTTAAGTGACTTGCCCAGGGTCACACAGCTAGTAAGTGTCCAAAGCCAGACCAGGCCAGATTTGAACTCATGAAGATGAGTCTTCCTGACTTCAAGCTGGTCACTCTGTCCACTGAGCTTTCTAGCCACACCAAAAGAGTCAGTGGACCTAGGTTCAAATTCTGACTTGTCATTTAACCTTTTTAAACCTCAGTTTTTCCAATATAAAATGAATGAGTTGAATTAGATAGCCTCTAACATCACTAAGGATACTATGACACTGTGAAATAGATTTTGAAATGCCTTGATAAGCGCAACATATTCATAATAGTTGAACTGATAAGCATTCTTAATTAAATAAGCTAATTAATAAAGTTTTGGAAACAGGACTTTAGTCTCTACTGTGTTATCCTGTGCTTAGAATCATTAGATTAATTCTGGCCAGTGTTGATTTGGCACTTAGGAATCTGGATAATGCACGTTTTGGATAACCCTCTTTGTTGTTAACACAGTGATTGTATTGGACACAATAATTAATTATGCTATATATCCTACTTCCTTGATTTGATTACTGTGGAAACTTTTCCAGTGTTGTCACTTTCATAGCTAATAGGGTTAATTTAGAAACCTAGTTTTCTAGTGCTAGTAATAAACTGAAAAAAAAATTGGGAAAATAAAACTCTGAACTACCTTGTCATATTGGTGAATATTGAATGGCATGGCTGTATGAGATCTAGGCTTGGATGCTATGGATAGAGCAGAATAACTGGTTGGAAAAAGAATCCTCCAGGAAATAGCATTCTCGTGATTGTAAGTCATTCATTAAATGAAATCAATTTATATCTCAGGTAGGTAATACTGGGTGAGTAAAAGTTTGAATAAAAAGACGCCTGCTATCAGATGGATGCCCATGTCTTTCCCATGAATTTATTACAGTGGAGGAATATGGTAGATTTTCAAAGATCACTCCCCAAAGCAGTTAAATGTTCTTTTTGCAAAATTTAAGTATATTTCAGGTTTGAAAAATCTTTATAGTTAAAATCTTATCTATAAGGAAATGTTACATGGCATTTAGCCAAGTCTTGAAAGATGTAATGAATTTTTTTTTAAGCATTTAAAGCTCTTGATTTCTTAGAATACTTCATTGAGATACTCTTTTAGTTTGGCAGACAAAAAGCGCAATGCTAGAGAATGAGAGATTTTCCAATTGTAATTGGAAGCATGATTTACAGTGTCCCACTTTCAGCAAGAATTTCTTCCCCCAATCTGCCTAAATCTAAGTGTCTTCTCTTTGAGACTACTTCCTATTTGTGGTAGGTGTGTATGTATGTAAATGTACATATAAATGTGTGTGTGTGTATATATATATATGTATATATATGTATATATATGTATGTTTATACACATACAAACACACACATATGTATGTATATATACCTACTCACATATACAGTATATAGACTATATATGTATACATATATACAATATATATGTATCCACATCTATAGTTTATTTACATTTGCATGTTGTCTCCCACATTAGATGTGAGCTTCATGAGGACAGGGATTGTATTTGTTTGTGTTTTATATTTGGTTTTGGTTTTCTTTTCTTTGTATCCCCAATGATTAGCATAGTGTCTGGCACTTAGCAGCCACTTAATAAATACTAATTGACTGATTGACTAGCACCAACTTGCCTTGCTTGTCCATTGATAAAAAAGAGGCCTATTTGTTATTTGAAAGAAAGGGTTTTATGGCTGAGGGGTGAGGGAGAAAACATGCCTGAGGGAAAAGGTTTATAAGGTAATTACTGAAGATCACTAAGAGAATGCAGGCCCTGTACTTGATGGGGGCTCTTAGTCATAAACACCTCTTGGAACAGTTGGCACTTAATAATGCTTACTGATTGATGGATAGAAAATATAAGCATCTAATAAGGAAAATCTGGACTATTTTTCTATGCTTATAGTGACCAAAAAGTTCGTAGTCACTGTGTAGTCTCCTTTCTTCCTACACGATTTGTAAGAGGGATCAGTTTTGACAAAGGCAATAATTGGTGCTTTGTCAATTGCATAATGCAGAGTCAGAAAAATCCTGCATGCAAATCCCCAACAGAAAATATTGACTCATTGTGTGACAATGAACAAGTCACTTGACTTAGTTTGCATTGTTCATGATAGAGTTTTACCTACCTCATGAAGGTGTTTAAGATACATTATATAACTTGCTTTCCAAACTTGAAAACACTACATGAAAGTTAGTTTTTATTTCATTCTCATCTTATATTCACTGGAGTTGAGAGAGCAGTGTCCTTGGGACAAGTTGCCATCCCTGTGTCTTTTTATGTTGAATGTTCAGCAGACTTGCACAGGCAGATAAAAGGATCGATTTTTATAATTGAATGAAAGTATTTTCATGCAGGCTCATCTTGTATAGATTCACTGAAAGCATTTTGGGGCAACTCTAGTAATGCTCGGGGATTTGACTTCATCCTATAGAATCTAAATGTGGAGTGCTTTTCTTTCTACATTGTTTAGAGGCAAATCATTTTTGATTTTTCGGTATATATATACTCAAGCACCTTTTTCTTGAACTTTTATTCGGCAGTGTTACATCTACAGGATTTTTGATTGGGCATATCACTACCTTTTAATATTCTAAATTATTTGTAGTACTGTTTTCTCTCCTATTTGATACTTAAATCTTAATACTAGCTATTTATTCTTTCCTGTAACAATGAAAATTCTTTCCTATAATATTGACCCCCAACCCAATATTGGCTATTTCTCAGTTTGTTATTCTAGACATATAATGTAATTCTAGATATAATTAAAGTTTTCTTTTCTAGTTTTGTTTATCATTTGTGGGAGCCAGTAGAGTGGAAAGAGCACAGTCAATTTTTTGGAGTCAGCAGATCTGGATTCCAATCTTGGCTCTGCTACTTTCAACACTGGGCAACTCTCTTCAGATTTCTAGGCCTCATTGTCCTCTTTTGTAAAAATTGGGGTAGTTGGACTAGATCAACACTAAGTTCTCTTCCATCTCTAAGTCCCTGATGCTCTGAAGTGGCCTGCTAGTAAAGACTTTCACTAATACCTTGATTTGACTTGTAAGAGTCAAAGTACTTTACTTATAGGAATCATCATTTCAGATATCTGCCAGTAAAAAATATTTTATCATTAAATCAGGAAAAAGGCCCATAGATAAAACACAATCTCAATACCATGGGAAAGAGACTGATTAACAGTGTAAAATTATTGTTGTCCCTGATTTTTGGTAAACAGAATGTTAGCAAAATTACTGATAGGTAAAAAGCAAAACTAGCAGACATCACTTTCAGAATTCCTTGTAAAATGATAGATGGATGCATCGAAATCACTTCTGATTGGAAACATAGGCAATTGTCTGCCTTGATTTGCTCTTCCTGGACATCATTCACTGGCACCATTACCCTAATCACATGCATGTCCTTGATTTAAGGAGTGATTTTGTTTGTTACAACACCAACATGTTTCTAGTGTTTCTAAGAATTAAAAAATTTATAATCCTATCTTTAAAACAACTAACCCACCAGATTGCTTAATACCAAAATACAGTTGAAAAGATTGGTGAACTTGAACAGGACAGTCCCATTTGGGCCAACAAGAAAATTCAAAATCTCACATTTTTTGGATCTCTGAGCTAAGAATATAAGCAAAAAGTTGAATTAGTATTTATCTCAAGGTATAGTCACAGCATTTTATTTTAATAAGCTCACTTCAGATAGGCATAAGGTAGGGACCTCTGATTTCATTAGTAAAATAGAATTATCTGGCATATTTGAGATATGGTAGGTAAATTGTTTTAAAGTTTGAGCATTTGCCAAATGATCATTTGCTGCTCCCACTGCTGGTTTCTAGTCTGTGTGTCCAGGAGCTAAGTAATTCAGAGACAAATTCAAATTTATATTTGAAAAGCAGTATGTTATAGTGGATAGGGTGAGTCAGAAAGACTTGGTTTCAGATCCTACCTAAAACACTTATTAACTGCATAGATCCTGGGTAAGCCATTTCATTTCTCATCGTCTTAGTTTCATCATCTAAAAATAAGAGGCTTGGACTCCATGGGCTTCTAAAATCCCTACTATCTCTAAAAGTAAGCAAATAAAATACAAACCAGAAATAACCATATGATTTGATCAGTTTCTGTGAGTGTCTCATCCTATTCAAACAATATAAGTAAAAACTTATCTGGGATTAGGACCAAATGATACTTTCCATGCCCTCAGTAAAGGCCTGACTGTATTTGGCACCACCCCCACCCTGAACCTTTCCATATGTTCTGTTTGGTGAAAAGCTGTCTATTTACTTGCTAATGCATAGGTTTCTCTACTTTCCATTATATATATATATATATATATATATATATATATATATATATATATATATGTATGTATGAGAATAGGCAAGATAGTCCAAATGAAGTAATGTATTAAAGATAGCCTCTGTTTTAATTTTAGATTATGCAGTGATGACATGTAGAATTTCTGTAATGCTCTATGTAATTATTTTAAAGCATCTTAATTCTTATTTTTATAGGTGACAACCCTGGTCAATACAAGCAACAAGGGGCCATCAGGGAAAAAGAAAGGACGATCTAAGAAAGCTCACGTGTTAGCAGCATCTGTGGAGCAGGCTACCCAGAATTTCTTGGAAAAAGGTGAACAGATTGCTAAAGAAAGTCAAGATCTCAAGGAAGAACTGGTCACTGCTGTAGAGGATGTGCGCAAACAAGGTACATTGAATTAAGTTCCAGCAGGGCATCTGTTTAATTTCTAAATGATAAAATTTCCTCCAAGAACAATGCATCCTTGCTAAAATACCTGGAAACTTTTTTTTTGCTCAATCAGCTGCTCATACCTTTTCACACAGTCTATGGGTATCACCTTTGGAGTTTCCAGAATTCAGGATCAAGATAGATATTTTTAGTTGCGATCATATAGCAATGCTGCAAATTTGTCTTGGTCACAATGACTTCATAATCTTGAGCTCTATTCCCTAAGGCTATGTCTGTCCCTGGATTAAAGGACAATTGAACAAGCACCTTGGCTGAAAGATTCCAGTCTGCTAGGATTTCATGAGCCAGCACTTTATTGTAGGAGGTAGAGAAAGAGGTGGCTTAATCCATTAAATGGAATTTTTAAAAAAATGAAGAGAGCTAAACAGGACATGTACTCATGGATTGTGGTGATTAGAGATCATGAGATTTGAAGCTGTCTTGGACCTGCTTTCAAATCCTGCATCTTTCACTTGCTAGCTGAGTAACACTTCATTTTCTGTAGGCCTCAGTTTCCTCATCTTTAAAATGAGGAGTAGGGGTTGACTACATGGCCTCTGAGGTCTTTTAATCTTGTATTGATCTTTTTTTACTTTGTTTCTATATTCACCCAGTTCTGATCCTGAACTGTCTTTGATATTAATTTGAAACAGATTTTATCTATATGAAACACTGGAGGCATCCTACGTGGTATAACTTGCTTTGGGCTTCCCATCTCTGAGAATGTCTCTGCCTAAGGTTGTCTCTGCTGGCCAGGCAAAATCTCAGGGATGTATAATCTCAACACTGAGACCAAGAGGAATGCTGTGGACTATGTCATACCATGTGCCAAAAGAGGATCAATAATAAAATCTTCAGTGTAGAACTAGATGGAACCTTTGGAGACCATTGAGATTTTTTTTTATAGATGAGGAAATTGAGGTGCAAAGTGATTAGATGATTTGCCCAGGGTCACACATTTTATTACATGTTTGATAGAATTTGAACTCAACTCTAGACTGCAAGCTTTCTATCCACTATGCTATCTACCCACATCAACACTTCCTAACACCAAAACTCCTTCCCCAACAGAACAGTGACTACAAATACCCATTTTGAGTATTATGATACTGAGTTGTGAGGAGATTTTGCCCCATTTCTGAAGAAAACTGGGCTGACATATTGATCTGTTAGTCAGACTAGAGCTAGATTGGTGTCAGAGGTGGCAATTGTGGTAGATGTAGAACCAATAAAGCAAAGATTTAGGTTACACGTAGGAAAATATAGCCATCATAGTTAGTTGCGTCTATATTTATATGTGAAAATAGATACAGATATAATACCAGTTATGTAGGAAATAATTCAAGTATTACTCCCATTTTATAGATGTGGAAACTCAGAAAGGTTAAGTGAGATGGAAGAACTGAGATTTGAATCAATCTTTTGACTTCATTATACTCCGTCTCATGTAATGAATATCAACTTGGGTACCCGACAAATTGGGTAATATGTGGTTTGGCAAGGGCTGGTAAACTAAAAGGAACTAATGATTCTGGTTATTGCCCAGGGAATTCCACCAGTGGGCAAACAGAGGACGTCTGTATAGGTGGGTGGCTTATAAAGGAATATAGTAGTAGTAACAGAGAGAAAATGGTATATATGCTGTTCATAATTGCACAGTTGGTGATGAGGAGATTGGTGACCTGGCAGGCAGGGGGAATACAGTACCCAGATAGCCAAATAGTAGGCAGAAATATGCCAAGAAAGATGTCAGGGAAGTCCAGTAGTAGAAAGCTCAATAGAGAGTTGTGTCTTGACAACATGGTGGCGGGCATTGGAGTATGGGCAAGTGGTTGTCATTGAATGTGTGGTAGTAGACAGCAATCATAGGTCATTGAGTTCAAGATGTTACTCTGATCTTTGTGAGTATTATTGAGAGGAATTCAGCCAGGTGACTTGGTGGACATAGTGCTGGGCCTAGAGTCAGGAAGACCTGAGTTCAAATTTGGTCTCAGACACTTACTGGCTGGGTGACCCTAGACAAGTCACTTTACCCTGTTTGCCTCAGTTTCCTCATCTATAAAATGAGCTGGAGAAAGAAATGGCAAACCACCTCAGGATTTTTGCCAAGGAAACCCCAAATGGGTTCACAAAGAGTTGGACAAAACTGAACAACAACACATTGAGAGGAAGTTAAGTGTCCAGGTCTGTGGATCAAGATACGCAGCCATTTAGCAGAAGCCAGAGAATGAGGTGTGATTATAGATCATCAGAATCCGAAGTCCAGCTACTAGAAGAATTGGGACTTAAAATCAATGTAGGTCCAAAATCAAGAGTTTCTTAGTATGCCAACTGAGCTGTGGATTCATTGATCTTTGTATTATCCCTGCCTAGGACCCAGATTAATTTCAGAGGCTGGGAAAGACTTCATCCTACAGATGGGGCTTAAGAGTCCCAAAACAATAATGTAGGGTCAGAGATGACCAAACCTGGTCATTTTAATTAAAGATGGAAGGAAACTTCAGGAACTGTATGTAAAGTATCACAGTCTTAGTTTTTGTCAATCATGCTGGGACAATAAGGTTAGTAGAAGTAATGGGGAAGCTCAGCATGAAATTCACAAAACAATAAGTTTAACATTCTCCAGTGGGGATCCCTTGTAGCAAAGTAGAGGATTTTTGAATCCCAGTAAAGGACTCAGTGGAAAAAATGAGCCCCAAAGTGATGACACTATGTAGGTAAATAATTGTGAAAATTCAGTGAGAGCCCAAGTACCAGAAAGTACAAATGTCATGCAAGGTATCAGAAGAGATAAGGATATTGGAAATACACACACATCCAAATGTGTATAAACCTAATTTATAGAACCAAATAGAAAACACACACACACACACACACACACACACACACACACAAATGGTTTTAATGCAGTGGAGTAGCTCATTATATGCTCCAGCTTTTGGTAAAGGTGCTTGAGCAAATAATTCTGTTTCAAATGTTTTCCCCTCTTAATTAGGCATTTAACTCACTAACTGAATTCTTCAAAGCGAGCAGAAATAACTTTTAACAGATAATTCTTATTCATCAGTGTTCTTTTTGAAAAGGAAGAGCACAGTAGTCAAGAAGAAAGCAAAGAAGGCCATGATGATTTACTAATTGGCAAAATATTTTTGGCATAAAATACAAATTGTATCAGATAGAATGAGGTCATGATTAACAATACGAGAGAAACAGACAAATAGGGAGTGAAGAAGGAAGGAAGGAAGGAAGGAAGGAAGGAAGGAAGGAAGGAAGGAAGGAAGGGAAGGAAGGAAGGAAGGAAGGAATGAAGAAAGGAAGGAAAGAAAGAAGAAAAGAAGGAAGGAATGAAAGAATGAAGGCAACAAGATAGACTGAAAGGAAGGAAGGAAGGAAGGAGGAGGGAAGAAGGGAAGGAAGAAAGAGGAAGAGAAGGAAGGAAGGAGGGAGAGAAGGAAGGAAGGAGGAAGGGAAGGAAAGAAGGAAAGAAATTAAGAGAGGGAATGGATCTAGTGAGTAGTGATAAAAGATATGTTAGCAGGAGGCCTGCATTAAAGAAGAATTTAATTTAATAAAATGGAATAGACCACTCCAGGCTACATCTCTTGATATACTGTGCCATATTCTAATGTTGTGAGAATTTCCCAAGCTTCTTTGAGTTCTGTTTAGCCTGTGGGATTTGACGTGCCCATATGATAGTTTATCTGGCCAGCATTTACATGGCTCACTGCACATATTTTTATAATGATTTCTTTTCTTAAGTTGAATTTTCAAGAATGTAGCATATTCACTTAGGCCAAGGAAAACACTGTGTGAAATATTAATACTATATGCTTGTTTTGGTGAATCTGCGATGTCATTAATGTGATCCATCAAGGTGCTACAGATTGTAACTCTACCCCATGTAACACTTTGGGTTTGGGTAGGCTCTGCCAATTTGTTATCCCACTATTCTAATGTGTAACTTGGATGCCTTTTTTCTAGTCATGTAACTCTTTGATGGCAACCTTTCTTTAAAAGATCTTAAAAGGCTGAACAATTAGGACGAATCTAATAAGGTGAAGTTTAGTAGTGGTAGCTAGTGGTTTACCCTGGAAATCAAGAACTTGATAACACAGAAACAACATGGGAGAGTTATGGTTAGATGCCAATTTACCTGAAACACATCTGGTGAGAGGAATCGTAAACTCAATAGAACTCATCAGTATCATATGACTGCCCCAAATATAAATGGGGTCTTGGACTGCATTGAGAGAGGCATAGCTTCAAGGAATTAGCATGTGATTGTCCTACTAGACCAGGGATTCTTAGCTTTGAATAAATGAACTAGATAAATTTCAGTGGATATGCAAATTTTTGGCAGGAAAACAAAAGCCTTGTTAATTTTAATATAATTAATTTCCTTTGTAATCCTAGGTATTTCATTTGATGCATCTGAAAACATCCTTCTGAGAAGGACTCTGGGGGTTTCACCAGATGGCCTAATGTGTCCATAATGACAAAAAGTTTAGGAACATCTGCTCTAGATTCTGTGTGGCCAGCACATCTGGAACATAATGGTTGGTTCCACAATTTATGAAGGCCATTGATTGATCAGTTCCTAGCCTAATACCTGTTGTATAGTAGATGCTCAATAAATGTTTCTTGATTACTTGATGTGTTTGCAGAATAGTGCAACTGGAATACTAAAGGATCTCTAGTCTGTGTATATATATATATATGTATGTATGTATGTATGTATCACATAGAGGTCAAATGAGGGAACTGCGGATTTCTAGCCTGGAGAGGAAACAATTTATGGAAGATGTGATATCAATTTCAAGTACTTGAAAAACCCTCATGGGACAGAGGGATTAATGATGCTTATTTGGCTTGACCCCAGCGGTCAGAATTAGTATCAATAACTAAAACTGCAAGGAGAAAAGTTTATATTTAAGGAACATGTTTATAATAATTCTGGT